GTAAAACCCTCCAAGTAAATGTACTCTCTTGTGTCTGTAATCAAGAGACAGGCAAAATAAAATTGAGTGTGATGGTTTCCAGACAGTGAGGCTTTAGTGATCTCAAAAATGCTGGATCCTAGAGAACAAATAGCTGGAAGGAAATGAGAATATTTGGCAAATTGTTACTTAGTGGCCTGCAGCTCGGGTCTACCTTAGGCAAGCAAGCAGTGGGAGGAAAGAGCATGTGAACTCATTGCCAACTTTGGCAACTCCCTTTAGTAATAAAGAAACTCTTAATAGCTACCATATCCTTGCTTCTCTCTGACTGTGAATTGAGTTCAAGCTCCATTTATCTCTTCTTAGAATATAAAGGAAACACCCTGGACAAATGTTCCTGCAAAATCCAGGCCCTGCTTCCTCTGCCCCTGGAGTCTATACCAAAACAGGTAGATGCCAGTAGGTCTCCTGAGTCCTTCCAAACTCTGGGCAGTCAGGTCAGGTCAGATCTCATGTTCTTTATTTTCCTGTTCCCTTTGTTTAACCACAACCTCTCATCTGTGCCACAGCTAAGAATGTGGAAGTCAAGGCTAGTTCAGTGGATACTATCTATTTCACATGGTCACCCTATATTCATCACCTCCCAAAGGAAATGTAGCTTTTTCAAAGAAAGACATAAATATGTGTATTTATGTAGTTGAAAGGTAGAACAACAGAATGAGAGAGAGAGAGAGAGCAAGCTAGCACTTCCATCCACTGGCTCACTCCTCAAATGGCCACAATAACAAAGATTGGGCCAGGCCAAAACCAGGAGCCAGGAACTCCATCCTGGTCTCCTAATCATCCAAATGGGTGGCAGGAGCCCAAATATTTGGGCTCATGTTTTGCTGCTTTTCCAAGTGCATTATCAGGAATCTGGATTGGAAGCAGAGCAGCCAGGAATTCAACCAGCACCCTGATTTGGGATGCTGGCATCACCAAGCAGTGGCTTAACTTGCTGTGCCACACAGCACTAGCCTAGGAAATGTGGCTTTGACTGACAGTGGTTTAGTAAATATTATTGAAAGAAGAAAGCTTAAATACTAAATAGTGTCTTAGGGAAAGGGTACCAAGGAAGTTTTCAAAGAACAACTAACTTTCAACAATGCAATTTCTAATAGGCTCATTTGGAGGACAAAATAAGTCAGGCCTTGCAGCCAGTTTTGGAAATACATTGAGTCACAAAACTTAAGTGATCTAAACAAATGATGTGTCTATTTTTAAAACCTCATGAGATCCTACAGGACAATTTTTTAAAGGTTAACAAGGGTACTTTGCTAATTAGGGTCTTGTCTCCTCTGCTAGAATACCTTGTCATAAAACAACTATGCCAAATGATTCAGTGTAGAGTTATCACTGTGTCTGTTATTTGCTCTGGGAAATATCAATGTTCTGACCATTTCTGTCCACAAGGTAAAATATAGAATGCTAGGATTGTTGTGAGGTTTAAAAAATGAGAAGCATTATTCACTTCCTATCCAGGCTCTCTTTTCTTAAAAAAATGCAAATTGAACCTTTTTGCCCAACCAGTACCTTTCCTTTATTGTATGTTATATTTTATTAATTAACAATAACATTGTCCATAGGGAAACCTTTCATAGATTCATTTTTAGAAGAAAGTTGGGCTGGCACTGTGGCTCACTTGGTTAATCCTCTGCCTGCTGCGCTGGCATCCCATATGGGCGCTGGGTTCTAGTCCCGGCTGTTCCTCTTCTGGTCCAGCTCTCTGCTGTGGCCCGGGAGGGCAGTGGAGGATGGCCCAAGTGTTTGGGCCCCTGCACCTGCATGGGAGACCAGGAAGAAGCACCTGGCTCCTAGCTTTGGATCGGCCATTTGGGGGATAAGCCATCAGAAGGAAGACCTTTCTCTCTGTCTCTCTCTCTCACTGTCTATAACTCTACCTGTCAAATAAATAAAAAAAAAGAAGAAAGTTAGTGTAAGACTATTAAAAGCTAGTATAGAATTGGAGTCAATTAGATGTGTTAGCAGCTCTTGAACTTCCAGTCCAGTGCAACACAGGAATAATTCTGGAATGTTCTTTTAGAGTTCCTTTTTTCTTTTAAATAAATAGTAAAGATGATTTAACCTTAAAGATTTATTTATTTATTTATTTGAATGGCAGCACCACAGAGAGGGAGAAACATGGGTAGGGAAGTAGAGAAAGATGGAGAGGGGGAGAGAGAGAGAGAGATTTCTTCCATTTACTGGTTCATTCCCTAGATGGCCACAACAGCAAGTCTGGGCCAGGCTGAAGACAGTGGCCAGGAACCCCATTCTGTTTCCCACCTAGGTGGCAGGGACTCAGGTACTTGTGTCATCTGCTGCTGCCTTCCTAGGCACATTAGCAGGAAGCTGGACCAGAAGCAGAGCAGCTGAAACTCAAACCAGCACTCTCATATGGGATGCCAGAGTCTCAAGTGGTAGCTTAACTTATTGTGCTGCATTGACACCACCTGAAATATTCTTTTTCTTATGTTAAACAACTAAAATTATTATTTCTATTAACTTTTAAGAAATGCAAAGAGTCAGCAAGGATTGAAGTATCACAGAAAAATTATTACGAACATATAAACTAATTATAAAATTACCACATGCCAAGTTGCTTCCAAGTGACCCATCAAGGATTTTCACTAGGCTAAAGGGAAAATCACGAGGAAGTATTATTCAGTAAGCATTTTGGACGTGCACTAAAGGAAAAGGTAGGCATACTGAAGTAAGATGAGCATCTCAATAAACAAAGGGGTTATCTCTAGAAAGACAGTTTACCATTTGAAAATATAATTAGTCTAGTCCCAATCCATACCATTGTTAGGATTTCAACATGTCCTTGGCCAGAACAGCAGTTTAATTATTTCATAGACCAAAGACAGAATGTTCCTAGTACACAGACCCATCAACTGTAAGAAGAGGCATTTCCTCAAGTCTCTCTATATAGTTTGGTGTTCCTGTGGGTTGAAATGTGTCCTCTGAAAATTAGTACACTACCGTCCTAGTACTTCAAAATTTTGCTTTATTTGTGAATAGAGTTGTTGCAGATGTAATTAGTTCGGATGAGGGCCTCTTAATCCAATATAATTGTTGCTTTTAACAAAAGGGGAAATTTGGTCACAGAGAGAAATCTACACAGAGACACATCATATGAAACTTGATATTACAATGCAGTAAGCCAAGGAACTTCAAGAACCTAGGAGAGAGACCTGGAATAGATCCTTCCCTAGTACCTCCAAAGGGACCGTGTCCCTGCCAACAGCTTGATTTTGGACTGTAGGTCTCTAGAACTGAGACCACAGATTTTTGTTGTTCTGAGCCATCCACTTTGGGGTACTTCATTATGGCAGTCTTAGCAAACTAACAGCTATCAAACTTTTTTTTCACTTATTTTAAATTTTGCTGCCCTTGTCACATGATATAAATGTATCAAACAAAAGAGAGAGTTGTGAAGCAGAGGCATGACCTTGCTTCCATTCCCTCTACCTCCCTCACCCTCATTCCCCTCAAGGTGTCCTGACCCCATACTGTTATGTAGGTGATAGCCACAAGAGAATCTAACCTTTCCTAGTCCATGCTCTCTACAGAGGGAAGGCATAGCCAGCGTTTCATATGGTCCCCACTAGCTAGCTGTCTATAATGAGCCTACCTTCCTTTGTAACTTTTCTTGTCTGACTTAATTGGGAACTGAATGTGTCATTTTAGGTGGAAACAAGCTCCTTTCCCAAGCCCTCCTCCCACCTTTGACCACAAGGGCTGAAACATTCTCAACAAAAATCAAAGTCCTTTCTGTTGAGATATGAAACAAACTACAGCCTTCCACTACACAGACATATGTATACACACACACACACACACACACACCCTAGCAAGTTTTCCAGAGACACTGGAGCAAGAAGATGATATGGAACAGGCCAGCACAACTTTTTAAAAACTAGGGTATTTGAAAGACAAACATAAAATATACAAGTATGTGTAAGTAAAACAGAGAAAAGAACAGAAACTGAAAGAGAATTTTGGTGTATTAGATTACAGCAGGCGCTCTGTTGCTTGTTGGCTGACAAAAATTGAAACTGTGGAATAATTAATATGTGTAGTGTCTGGTTTAGGCTTGCTGGAATTTACAGATTGATCCAACTTTTGTAAAAACTTTGTTTCTTCTGCACTCAAGTACACTATAAATTCATCAAATGGCCTGGGACATTGCTACCAATTTTTACACTCTTAAGACAAAGGGAATGTTTTGGCCAAGGCCTCCAAGCAGGATTGAGGTATGGGAACAAACAGTGCTGATGATACATCTTCCTCTGTGTTGATGAAGTGTAATATTGGATACGGCAATCTGATGACCAGGTGACACTCAAAGTTGGCATCAACACATGGTTAAGGTAGAACTTTGGGGAAGCCTCTAAACCCAAGGCCATGAGCAGACCTGTGAATCATTCAGAATGAAATTAAGGACAAGGACTCCTGACAGTTCAAAATCTAATTGCCAAGACTGCTTTCTGCCAACAGTCTATTCTCTTTGATTCTGGGCAACTGGAAACATGTGACGTGGGTGAATAACTGCATTAACTGGATGAAAAAATAGCATACAGACATCAGATGTACAAATAATTTTAAAGTCCATTTTGGATAAAACTTTTGATATTCTGTAGCTTGTCTTTCTGCTCGGTATGAATAATTATTTTCTATCAAAATGAGAGGTTGGCAGAGGGGCTGAGAGGGATAAAAGGAATGAAGAATGTACAAATTGAGGGATCTAGCCCTAAACAATCAAATGTGCTAAGAATGTGTATGTTTAAGAAATATTCTAATATGGAAAATTCCTGAAGAGAGATATTTTATCTTCAGTATTTAGTAATTTAGAAAGCATAAGATTTTTTCTGCTTTTATCTACTATCTGGTTGCAAATTTACCAATGGAAATGAATGCATGGAAAAAGGTCAAATAAGTATTAAAATGCATTTCTTGTACTATTTCTGTCTTCTCAGATTAAAGTAAGAGAGCAACCATTTAGCCTAGCAGTTAAGATGCCTTCGTGACATATCAGAGTTCCTGAACTTGATTCCCAGCTTTAGCGACTTATGCCAGCTTCCTGTTATTCTGTAACCCGTGGAGCAGCAAGTAGTTGTGTGTCTCCAAGATCCTTGGGAGGCTTGGATTGAGTACCCAGCTTCTGGCACTGGCCCTGGCCCAGCCCTTGCCACTGCAGGTATGTAGAGAGTGAATCAACAGATGGAAATCTCTTTCTCTCCCTCTTGCCTGCTCTCTCTCTTTCTCCCCCACTCTGAAATATAAAAAAATTCTGAATTTTAAAAAGAGGCTGAAGTAAAATTAGAAGTATTTCCCACTGCATTCCATTTTTACAAACAGTGGTGCCTGCATGTGAAGAGTTCCTACCCCTCCAGGTCTAAAAAGTAACGGATCTGGCAAGATCAAGATTGCCAATCCTTTGATTTTGGTCATTGCAAAACACCAATCTCATTTTTTTCCCTAAGACTTGTGAAACTCAGCACCCCTAGTCTGAAACTCTTCCCCTAACGTGTATTTTCAGTCAACATTTTACAAAATTTGAGAATAGTATTAATAAAAATTGGAAGATGATAGAGTTTTCATATACTCCACATCCATTATTAATATCTCTCCCCATTATTAACAAATTATGTTTGGATATTATATCTTCAGCAATTAATAAACTAATATTGACCCTTTATTATTAATTGAAGTCCATATGTGATTCAGATTCCCTTAGCATTTCCCTTTTTCTGTTTCAGGATACAGCCATTATGTCACCTTGGATTCCTCTTGGCTATTATGGTTTCTCAAGGCTACCTTGTTTTTGATAACATCCACAGATTTTGGGAAGTGCTGGTCAGATAGTTTATGAACTATCCCTCAAATGGGATTTGACTGATGTTTTTCTCATGATTAGATTGTTGCTACGTGTGTTGGGGAGGAAGATCATAGAGGGCCACATCTATAAATTGATGTCACTATTGACATTAATCTTGATCACCAAAGAGTATGTTTGTCAGCTGTCTCCATGGCAAGGTAATTCTTCTCTCATATTTCTGTCTTGTACTGTTTTGAAGGAAGTCTCTGTGCAATCTATACTTAAAGAGCTGGGAGTTATTCACCACTCCTTGAAGACAGAATATTTACTTAAATTACTTGAAGTATGTCTGCAAGGGAGATTGTTTTTTTCTTTCTTCTTTCATTCCTTCCTGCCTTCAATCAACTATTTATTTATGGACTCATGGAGATTTATTTATGCTTTGAGCCATAATCCAAAGTAACCCTACTTATTTTGGTTGCTCAAATTGTTCCAATTTTCACTATTGAGGGCTCTTTCCATTGGCCTCAGTACCCCCTTTAACATCATTGTATTTTGTTTGTCTGCTAGGTTGCTTTCTCTTATCACTTCCTTTTTTTCTGGCAGGACAAGATGCTGTAATCTTATCTTGCATATTTCTTGCTCCAGACCTGGGCCAACCATTTCTCTAGGAAGCCTTAGTCCTTTTATTGGAGAATGGCATAAGAAGCCATCTGGGTGCTTCATGTCCAGGCTGCTAGAGTGTCATTGCTTTTCCTACTTCTCAGCTGTCAGAGCAGTGATCTGTCTGTGTGAATAGTAACCTGTGTGTATATTTCCGCAAGTAACCATTTATATATATAGTAAACATGAGTACTTACTAACATCTCCAACTTGATCTATCACCTAATCTACTTGTTTATGTCTTTTCATTCCTACATTGAGAAATGTGGCTTCTAATATTTCTTATTCCTTTACTTAATTGTTCCATTTCAGTATACATGTATAATGCTATTAAAATTTCCACTGGTAAGAAAACAACTTCAACTAAATTGTCTTCTTTGTTTTTGGTCTTACAGACCTTACTCATTTCCCAAATTACTTAGGCCAATCTAACTTTCCCTATCACTGCCTTCAGGAAGATTGTTTTCACACATTTTGATATAATTACATTCTTCTGTAACATTGGGCATTTCATTCAGGGATCCCCTACACTCCTTAATTATATTTCTTAAATTTGAGTACATTAAGATTCACTCTTTATAGTGTAAATTTCTATGGTTTTGAAAAAGTGTAGCAAGTGTCTACAATTATGATATCATGTAGAATATAATTATAACCCTAAAGTTTCCCCTGTGCTTCACCTGTTTTATGATTCTTGTTTCCCCTGAGTCCCTGACATTCACGAATTATTTTACAATCAGGGTAGTTTTGCCTTTTCCAGAATGTCATGTAAGTGGAATTATTTATTGTATAGCTTTCAGACTGAAAAGCATATTGACACAGCAATATGCATCAAAGATTTATCTGTGTGTTTTCATTGCTTGATGGTTTATTTCCTTTTGACTGATAATATTCCATTGTTTGGGAATATCACAGTTTTTTTTCCAAAAGACCTATTTAACATAAAAGGAAATCTGTAGACGTGAAACAGATACTATGAAAAGCAATTACTTGAACAGCCATTGTATTGACTTTATTATTTCACTTCATCTTTTTTTATTCTTTTTTTCTTCCCTATTTAATACCATTGGCTGAACTCCTTACTCAACATAGAATTAATCATATATATATTAAGTCAATTGAAAGTAGATCCCAGTTAAAAATAAGAGTGGGAATGAAAGAGGTAGGAGCTATACAGTTCTGCACACATTCCCACAGACCTGCCCCTAACAGTGAAGCTAAAAATTTGCCATGGGACTCCAAATCCCATTTAGCTGAGTGGAACTAATCCCATTTTATGTGATAAAATGATCATACTAAGTATGGAATTGATCATATACATAGGACCATCAATCAAAGGGATCACATAAGTAAGACCAAGTGCCTGGTAATAACAATAGATAGAATTACAAAGGAGAGAAAGTTGCAACAAGGGAAGCAGTCCATACAGCAGACTCATAGAATGATAAACACCCTAAACAGCACTCTGACCTCAGAATCAGCCCCTAAGGCCTGATTAAAAACACCACGAGAGCGTTTCAGTCAAGGAAAGCCAAGACATCGTGGCAAAAATGGTTCTGCATGAAGGATCTCTGTGAGTGAGACCCCAGTGGAAAGAGGGACTATCAAAGAAGGATGTACTTTCCTCTGAAGGGGGGAGAGAACTTCAACTTTGATTATGGCCCTTTCTAAAAACCACCGGAGTTTGTGGACTCAGAAGTCTTCCATAGCCTTGGCAGCTCATGTCAAGAGCCTCGGGTGATTACTGACATCATAAATAAGAGTGTCAATTGTTTTTTTTTTTTTTTCAAGTCATATTTCTTTATTCACAGGCAGAAATAATCATTAAGTGTAACAATGCATTTGCAATCATCAAAGCAGCAGCAAATAAACCATTCTAAAGCTATGGAAATTCCTATCAGGAAATTTTAGTAGAATTAGATTAATAACCAAAAATGTCTGTATCTATAAATACAGTAGTTTTATAGTTATTTTTTAAACGCTATTTGATACTAGTTACTCTTATTAACAGTGTCTTTCAGTGACAAACCCTAATCTTGGATCTTTTATGAGTATTGCTTTCTGTGACCTAAGAAACCTTGGGCTATCTCCAGTCACAAATATACCCACCTATGCATTCTGCTGAAAAGCAATATACTTTTTAGCGGTATCCTTAGGTCTATGAAGCACCTAAAATTAACTTTTGTGAGGTAGAGGGTCATAGTTAATTGTTTTCCATGTGGATATTCAGCTCTTCTATTCTGGCTACATTTTTCAAAAGAGTTTCCTTCCCTGTTGGATTCCTTTGCTACCTTTGTTGAAATTCAAGTGATCACATAAATGTGAATCTGTTTTAGGCTCTCTTTTGTACTTCACTCATTTGTTGATCCTTACGTCAGCATCATGCCATATTGATTACTGGGTACTACTTACTATAATAACCCTTACATTGTTTTACAAAATTTAAGCCTCAATAAAAGAGGTTATACAAATTAAACTGAAATAAATTAATGGGATCAACATGAGCCTAAAATAGGCCTTAGGAAATTGTTTTTAAAAATTGTATCACAGCTTTGAAACACTCCATAATTACTACTGTATCAAGACCAAAATATATTTACCCACAAATAACTGAAAACCTACACATTACTCTAGAGTGTCAATTGTTAAATCAACAACAGGAGTCACTGTGCACTTGCTCCCCATGTAGGACCTCTGTCCTTAATGAGTTGTACTGTGAGTATTAATGGTAAAACTTGTCTTCAAATTGTACTTTATACCTTGTGTGTTTGTGTGGGTGCAAATAGTTGAAATTTTTACTTAGTAAAGAGTTGATCCTCTGTATATAAAGTCAATTAAAAATGAATCTTAATAGAAAATGGAATGGGAGAGGGAGTTGGAGGTGGGATGGGAGTGCGGGTGGGAAGGTGGGTATGGGGGGAAGAAACATTATATCCCTAAAAGTGGTACACATGAAAATTTGTATTCATTAAATAAAAATCTTCACAAAAAAGACCTATTTATCTATAGGAAAATATCTCAGTCATTCTGTGAATAAAGTTGAGGGGGAGTCTTCCAAGATAGTGGAGTAGGGAAAGGAGGTACTTCTTTAAGCTAGGGGAAAATAGTAGAAAAAGAGGTAGAGGAAATGCATTCTTGGGGAGAGTTAAAGAGAAACCTACAGTAGAAATTCTACAAAAGGAAGAGGGATGCAGTGGATCAGTATGGAAGCTGTAGACACATAGCAATGAGTGAAGACACAACACTCAATCCCGTAGCAGAGAGCTAGAGGAAGCACCAGCTTTGGAGAGTGAGGTGAGAGCAGCCCACGCCATGGGTGATATTGCTTGAGGGAGAAGCTGGAAGACTACACTGTCTTTGATCTGGACTAGAGCCCTAAGGAGGACAGGGTATATGCCTAACCCAGCAAAAAACAGCATGTTTCTCTTTGCCCATTGCCCCACAATTCTACTGTGCAACTAGCTGGGAGAAGTGCCACCTTGACACCAGTAGCAGCTTGGTCATGGCTTGTGGGCATGCACTCAGCAACAGGCGGGAGAAGGTACCATATTGACAACAGCAATGGCTAGGGTGGCTCTTATGCACACATGTGATCCAGAGATTTTACCAGAGAGAAAAAAAAATCTATGTTCCTCGCTGACCTTGAGTCTGGCTGGGAGGATTGACAGGGAGCTGGGAACCCATGTAGGACTTGAGGTGCCCCCAGCTTCT